CCTCCAGTGCCTGCCTAAATGCATGACCAAAATAAATGGACAAGTTAGACTCATGTACATGAGTATGTTCATCAACCACTCATATATGCATATGTATGTGTATATTTATATATAGATATAGAGAGAGAGGGGCAGAGAGAGAGAGAGAGAGCGAAACAGAGACACGCATTATATATATAGATTGATTTTGTCACACATATATATATATATATTATATATTATATATATATATTATATTATATTTATATTATATATATATATGAATGAATCTTTAATATGTATGTATGCATGTATGTATGCATGCATATGTAAGCATTGGCATAACAGGTTATCACGGAATAGGCCAAGACACATTCAAAAGTACGGAGGTCCCGCTGCCGACATCCCGATCCGTAAGAACAAAGACCTGCCATGCCAGTAGCCTAAGTCAGTAGCCCAACATGCTTGCCTTCCTGAACGCATTTGTTTGGCAAGAGGGTCACAATTAGGACTGAAGGCTAAAGCTATCCATGCCAGGATGATTCTTGCGCTAGTTGGTTGCGAGTTGGTTGCTTTAGGAGCCTGTGATATAGAAGCCTGGACAATCACCAAGTTTGTTCCTTGTGGTTCCTTACTACACTTATACAATATGCCCCAAAACCCTAATTATTCTTGATATTGTCCATTCCTGCATGTTACCCTCAATGTGTTCGCATTATGAACTACAGTCCGCAGCAAGTTCCTCCAGAAGTCGTTGTCTTCGGAGTCGAGTAACTAATTGATCTTGAACCTCGGCTTCTAGTTAGTATAGCATTTTTCAGCTCCAAAACGGTTGGGTAGCCCTTAGTTTCCTCGTAAACTGGACAAGTAAGTTGAAGTTTGCACCTACGCTGCTGCACCTAAGCAATGTTGTCGGTAAGACCAGCGTGTTTCTGCGCACCGAGCCCCCGACGCGAGCTGCTCTCATGTTTTGTATGCAATACAGTTTCACCGATGTTCCCCAAGCTGCTCCCAAGCAATCAAGCCAACAATCGTCTTGGGTTTAATGGTTACTGGGTTTAGGGTTTAGGCGCCAGGCAGGGTGCAGGGAGGAAGAGGTGAGGGTCGTTCTAGCTGAGGATAAGGTAGAACCCGACCTGCCTACATCTTCCCAGCCTGTAGCTCACGTCGCTGGACAACTGGTTGCAAGGACCTTGTAAAAAAAAAACCGGAAAAGATATTTAAGAAGCATTCTAGACTTCAAGCACTGAACCCCACTTACCAAACGATGAGACCTCTCCACCGAATTGCGTCTCGATTCATCCTCGAGGTTGGGGTAGTAGGGTTTCGGGTTTCGGGTTTACGGCTCTGTTTTGCACCTAAAACCCTAAGCCCTCAATCAAATTATAGAAGCTTGTACAGCTTCAATCATAGAGCCCGAAGGCCCCGACCTCCCCGAAATTCAGTGAAGAGGCGAGCGAACCCCACAAGGAGCTTTGAGGCCCTGACATATAATCTGGCGATGAGACCTGCCATGAATTCGCAAACCTATGGCCCGAACCACAAAGCCCCAAGACCCAAAACCGTGAATCGTACACCCCCGAAGCCCTGCCCTAAAGCCCAAATCGCTGTCGCCCCAAGCCCCAAAGCAAAGCCTAAAGCCTGAATCGCACACCCGAAGCCCGAAGCCGGAAACCCGAAACCCTAAACCCTAAAGCCCTAAACCCTAAGCCCTAAACCCCAAGCCTAAATCGTCGACTCCCTTGGGGAACTCGCGCCCTGGGGGCGGCCTTGACCCTTCGCTGGGGCCTTCGAGACGACCTAGGTTTGGGGACTGGACTGTATGGCTTTCGGGTTTAGAGTTTTGGGCGGGTTGGAATAATTTATGGCTTTCGGGTTTTGGAGTTTTAGGCGGGTCGGAATTTGGGATTTTAGGGCTTTAGGTTTTGGGCGGTTTGGGATGTAGGATTACTGGGTGTTTTGGAGTTTAGGGCGGCTTGGGATTTACCATCTAGGGCTTTAGCGAATTGAGATTTCGGGGCTTGAAATTTGACTTTGCAATCATGAGGTTCTTTTTGCAACAAGGTTTTCGGGTTTTAGGATGAGGATGCTTACGAGAGCTGTAGAATGATCGACACTAAAGTGCCGCCATGCCCGTCGTTTCGACGCCAAGAAACGTGTGAGCTGACCTGGCTCCCGGCAGCAACTTCATGATAGTTGGGTTTTGCTAGACTAGGATCTCAACCTCGCATACTAAACCGTTTAGGGACCGTTTTTTGGAGCCTGGAGGGCTTGGGCTATGCGTGTTTCTGAACGGTAGGGTTCCCCCTAAAGCCCTAAACACTAAGCCCGATACGAACCCCACGCCCTTGAGGGAGCAAAACACGTTGAAAAACTGAAGAAGCTCCGACAGTCTTGCAGCTCCTTGAACCAGAGCACTCCAGCGGGCAGTTGTCAAAAGCTTGTGGCCCCTTTTCAGGACTTTCTCTCTGGGTTTCAGGGACTTGGGGTTTTAGGGTTTTAGGGTTTTGGGATTTGGGAGTTTTTGGTGTTTAGGGATTTGGGGGTTTTGGGGGTTTAGGGTTAAGTGGTTTAGGTTGGGCTTCCAGGCGTTTGGAGTTCCAATGCCAGCTCGCGTAAAGTCTCATCCTTTGGGGGCCTACGGAAAATGCTGTGGAATCTAAGTTGCGACATCCTGTCTTGGGAAACTTCCGGACAACCCCTTGATTTTGACAACCGCAGAGGTCTGGGCCTTGGCGAAGGAGCCAGGGTATAGGGTTAAAGGCCTTCAAGTTTCCGGCTTCTCTGGCCCTTCAGCGTCTTCATGGCTTACAGCGCAAAGCGCGAAATCTAGGTGTCAGGTTGAGGTTTGGGATGGACGGCGTAGGGTTTGGTATGCCTGAGACGGTTGCAACCTAATTCGGTGGGGCAAGTAAGCACTTGCCTTGCCTGCAGATGGAGATCCCCCGCTAACATCCGAAAGGAGGCCAAAAACACATAAAATGTTGGATACGCCAGGTTTTCTTGCGTTTGTCTAGATAAAGACGCATTCCGAACGTCTATACGTGCTATCCGCTACCCCCAGTAATCTGTCTTGTGACAGAAGTTTCGCAATATGCATGCAGTATCATGTTGTATCTTGGTTAACCAAGCTAAGAATTTACGCTTTATCTATATTACCAAGGAAAATTCAACATGTATTTTCTCTTTCGAAACTGCAGCTGAGCTATCGAAATATCGAAAAGCAAGGTTTCCATTTCTTATATTGAAGGGTTTTGTCTTTCTTTCAACCACACTAATGCCTTAATGGTTGGTTCAACATGTAAATTGAATCGAAAGTTGCCGTAAATCGTAATCTGCAAATCTATGGAGAAGTTCATTCACGAAAGTGGTGCTTTGGTTGATGAGTGACGTCGATCATTTTGTGGTTATTATAATTCGAAACAGAATTGAAACATGATCGAAAATATTTTAAAGTAAGGATAAAACTAAGAAGGATTATGGAATAGTTATAAGGTTTTTAGTCCTTATTCTTCATATATTTTACAAGAACCTGAAGATATATATTTAGAATAGATGTATTTATTATGATAATTCATATATATATATGTGTGTGTGTGAATGATGCTTATGATCTGGATTGTTAGGTACGATATGTTATGTGCTGCATAGTCACTCCCGTGCCTCACACCAATACCAATATCTCGCTCTCTTTGAATTTCGCAATCGACAGATGGGCGCCGAACGACTTGTTTAGGTTGCCTATGGAGGTACGTCGATGCTCTTCACCTTTCTCATTGTCGGCACCGTCTGTAAGGGTCGAGGGTTGAAGGTTGAGAGTCAGGGTTTACTCTATTATTGCTATGTTTATCGGTAGACTGGGTGGGCAGATTGGGTGGGTGATCATTCCGAGCGCTTCGAAATTCAAAGCACACATATTTCTACGAGTATTTGCTATATCGTAGGAAATAAGGAAAGTTTGGGAGCCTCAATGTTGCCATATTTGTAGGTCCTAGCTATTCACAAATATGGAAATATGGGAGGCCTCTACATTTGCATATTTCCACATGTTCCGGCCCTAGCTATTCACAACTGTGGAAATACGGAGGCCGTCCACATTTCCCCATTTGCAAGCCCTAACTCACCCGTATTTCCACATCTTCTGGAGGCATGGTGCTTGCAAATGTGGAAATATGGAGGCCTTTCGTATGTCTATATATGCAGGCTCTAGCTATTCACAAATGTGGAAATGCAGAGGGCCTCCTCCATATTTCCACATTTGCAAGCCCTTAACCCATCCAAATTTCTAAATCTTCTGGGGGCATGGGGCTTGCAAATATGGATTTATGGAGGCCCTCCCTATTTCCACATTCGTGAATAGTTAGGTCCTGCAAATGTGGAAAGGTGGAGGCGGGGTTACCTAACATAACTGTTTCATATATTGGAGCGTTTCAACTAAAATCATTTGTCATGGCTTTGTTTCTGGGGCCGTATTAAGGGTTAACCACTTACAGAATTATTTCGTTTATTTGGCGCACGAAAATAGCTTACATGACAGTTTGTTTCGTTTGTTGACGTGCTAGAAATGAAAACCTCTTCCAGAATTGTCGTCGCTATGGGGCGTTGGAAATGAAAACTTCTTCCAGAATTGTTTCGTTTATTGGGGCGTCACAAAGACAATATGAATTACTTAGTCAGTGTATGCGACATGACATGTGTCGAGTATCAAAGTGCGACCCTTCGTATTCCTATATACCTCCATCCGTATCGAGCATGGCACTCGATGCTGACAATATATCCTTCAGAGATGCGAAGACTGCCACCGAATTAATGGTTTTGTGGGACATCGATGAGCATGTGTGTGTGGGACCTATGCCACCAGGAAGCATCAACATCGTAGACTTGCCTATTCCAGAGCATCTCATCTACAAGCAAATGCATCACGCCATGTGCTTTCGTATCGATTAACATATTACATAACCTGTTTGTAAGCGTATGACAGCCATGACAGCTGAATCAGGTTGACACCGACCAACCATTCCATGAAGCACTTCCTTGATGTCATCCACGATATTCTTGCTGAGTCCATCGATACTGATCAGCTCAAGCAAATCATCAAGGTAAAGTTTGGATAGAAATGCCGGATGTACTTCAGCTCAAAACGCGGCCGAGTTTTGCCTACAAGTCCCAGTGCTTCATCATATCTCAAGAAAATGGCAACCTTACCGTCATCAAGCACGACTGACTATCTCCCCGATGCGAAGGTTATTCTTGCCAAACTCACGGACTTAGCAGTGGGTAAGTGTTATGAGGTCAAATGGGGCAATGGCCACAAGGTTATCGAGCGGAAGGCGTTCCAATGGATGCTCGAACAACTCGGTGGCATTCAGTTCCGACATTTCTCTCTTACAAGCGAGAAGAAGCGGACCGCTTCCCAATCAGTTCTTGCTGAATTCTACATCAACTGATGAGGAACAAGATCTAGGTTGGCTATCAGGAACAAGGGGAAAGGGACAACTCTGACTTGACCATTTCTGCTACGACTCAGCCGTTTGGGAACAGCAGTCATCAAGCCCAGTAGCGTGTCATGTCTTTGATCCCTCGGTATCAGATGACGGAGAAGTGGGTCCCACGAGATGTGACATATGTCATGGCTGAGTTCCTGGAAAGTCCCTTTTCTAAACGAGTCCGTTGTGCGTATCATGCATGGTTCTGCAACTCGCGACTGCCTTCAACCCATTTTGAGGTTACGAAGAAGATCTCCTGACGGTAATTCCAGCTGCGCCTCACCCTCACCCCCGCGTATGTGTCTGTCTGTGTGTGTCTGTCTGTGTGTGTCTGTCTGTGTGTGCTCTGTCTGTGTGTGTCTGTCTGTCTGTCTGTTTGTGTCTGTTTGTCTGTGTTTAAATTTCTGCGGTAGCGTCGGGAAGCCTGTCGGCTGCATGGTGTGGCGACCCATTGCTGCTGGTGGAGAAGTTCTGGTAGCATGTAGCCTTCCTCGACGTGGAGTATTCTCGCCGAACTTAGCGTCCGTGAAGGACGGCTCGGCTTTCTTGCGAGCATCAGTACGGTTACCACAGGAAGCAGTCAAGCAATCTTCTGCAGACATGTCGTTTTTCCATGGCCGACAGATATGATTGCTTTGTCCGCTCTTGTCCGTTCGTACAGGGACTCCGTGACGACAGAGCTTGTTGGTGTGCGTGTATGTGTGTGTAGGTATATAAAAAAAAATATATATATGTGTGTGTGTGTATGTGTGTATGTACATGTATGTATATATATATATATATCTATCTATATATATATATGCATGCATGCCTGTCTTCCTGTCCTGTCCTGTCCTGTCCTGTCCTGTCCTGTCCTCTCCTGTCCCGTCCCGTCCCGTCCCGTCCCGTCCCGTCCCGTCCCGTCCCGTCCCGTCCCGTCCCTGTCTGTCTCTGTCTGTCTCCGTCTGTCTCTGTCTGTCACTGTCTGTCTCTGTCTGTCTCTGTCTGTCTCTGTCTGTCTCTGTCTGGCTCTGTCTGTCTCTGTCTCTGTCTCTGTCTGTCTCTGTCTGTCTCTGTCTGTCTCTCTCTGTCTCTCTTTGTCTCTCTCTGTCTCTCTTTGTCTCTCTCTGTGTCTCTCTCTCTCTCTCTCTCTCTCTCTCTGTGTCTCTTTCTCTCTCTCTTTTTGTCTTTTTCTCTCTCTCTCTCTCTCTGTCTCTGTTTTCTGTTTGTTTGTTTGTTTGTTTATTTGTCTTTGTTTGTCTGTCTGTCTCTGGCTGTCCGTCTCTATATGGCAGTCTTTGTCTGTGTCTGTTTCTGACTTTCTCGGCTTCTGTCTGCTATCTATCTCTGTCTGCTTCTGTCTATTTGTCTGTGTCTCTGCTGGCTGTGCTTGTGTTTGTCTCTGTCTGTATTTTTGTTTGTCTCTATTCTTGTCTCTGTCTCTATCTCTCTGTCTATATTTGATTGTATTTGTCTATATTAGTACCGTAAGCTCGTGGTTATTTAATTTCCGAAAATTTTTAAGATATGTTTGCGGTCTTCGTGGTAACAAAATTTCCGATATTTTAGTTTCGAGAAATTTGGTTTTGCGGACCGATTTTAGGGCCGCTCGAAAAGTACGTAAGAGGCTTGCAAGAAATTTGTTCCTATATTTTATCTTTGTCAAAATCTGTCCAAATTTTATTGGGAAATTTTATTGGATTAGACCTTTATGTTGTAAATCTTGCTAGCGTTCTTATTTAAACATATTCTGTATTTCTCTATCCTTATTTAAATTCTTGCAAACTTTATTGGAAAAAATATCGTGCCGTTATTAGCCACCTCCGATTTCATTATTTCTAACCTCTGGTCTGTCGGAGATACCAGCAATTTGACAAGATATTTCATCTTCTTCCGAAGCCACATGTCGTCTTCTCTAGATCCTGATTATATATGAACCTAACAATTCCGTCCGTAAGCCCGAATCCACAAATCGTGTTCCCCTCTCCCTGACTATGCATGAACATAACACTCCCGATTGTGAGCCCAAGATCCCAAATCATTGCCTCGGTCCCAAAGTACATCGTTTGAGTTTGGAGTTGGCTTCAATTTAGGATTTAAGACTATGATAATTAACAAAATCCAGGGATAAATACTGTAACGTTACGGCCTGTACCTTCCACCGCCAGTATTCACTCACGGACAGTTCTATGTGGCTCTTTCCCGCGCACGCGATGATAATAGTATCCGTATCTTTCTGGAGCCGGGCGAAGGTCAAAGATTCTTATTCGATAGACATGATTATGTACGAATCGCTTTCACCCAAAATATTGAATATCATAAAGTCTTGCACTATTGACTTCTATAGCGCCGATAAATAACTTCTCGTCGCCTCTTGTGTGCCTCTCTCGCGGTACTAAATTTTCGGAAATTTTAGTACCGGGAGCAATTTCTTCCCGCTACTAAAATTTCCGAAATTTTGTGCCTTTAAGAAATGTCGCGGTGGTAAAATTTCGGAAATTTTGGTTGCTCGAGCGGGACAAGCTCCCGGTAATCAAATTTCCGAAATTTTCGGTAGGTATTCTCGCGGGCTCGCGGTCTTCGCGGTAATAAAATTTCCGAAATTTTAGTTTCGGGAGCATATCTTAAATTTTTGGCTCTGCGGATCGATTTTAGGGCCGCTCGAAAAGTACGTAAGAGGCTTGCAAGAGGAAATTTGTTCCTATATTTTATCTTTGTCAAAATTCTGTCCAAATTTTATTGGGAAATTTTATTAGATTAGACGCACATATTATAGATCTTGCTATTGTTCTCATTCAATTATATTCTCTATTTTTCTATCTTTATTAAAATGCTTGCAAACCTTATTGGAAATTTGTATCGTGCCGCTGTTAGCCACCTCCGGTTTCATCGTTATAACTTCTGAAGTGCCGGAGCTGCCAGCAGTGTTTTATAGCATCTTTAGCCGACATATTTTATCTAAACCCGAAGCCATATGTCGTCTTCCCCAGACCCTGATTATATATGAACCTAACAATTCCGATTATGAGCCCAAGACCCCAAATCATTGCCTCGGTCCCAAAGTACATCGTTTGAGTTTGGAGCTTGCTTCAATTTAGGATTTAGGGCTATGGTAATTATCAAAATCCAGGGACAAACGCTACAACGCTGCGGTCTGTACTTTCCACGGCCAGTATTCACTCACGGACAGTTCTATATGGCTCTTTCCCGCGTACGCGATGCTAATAGCATCCATATCCTTCTGGAGACGGGCGAAGACCAAGGATTCTTATTCGATGGACATGATTATGTACGAATCGCTTTCATCCAAAATATTGTGTATCACGAAGTCTTGTATTATTAACTTCTGTAACGCCGACAAATAACTTCCCGTCGTCTTACTCCCGCTGCTGGAAGCAGCGGGTCCACTCTAGTGTATATTTTAAAGATGTGAATTTATATGACATAAATCATATAGAATTTTTAATATGAGATTATTTTATTTCGGGAATATTTATATATTTCTAAATATAAAATAAAATGAAAATAACTTTTCTTATATAAGATTTTTGAATTTTGAATATAGATAAGATGATACGAAGAAAAATATTTTATATTTTTAAATCTGCTTCATATATTTTATTTGTTCATTAATCTTATTGATATTGATATTAATATTCTTAATATTGGGACGTATGGTCTCCACATTTAATATATTCTAATCTTTCTTCTTCCTCTATTCTCTAATAATCGTCTCCCCTTGTGCCACGTATGTGTCCACGAATATTCTAGAATGATAAGAAATTGAAATCGTACTGAATAAATAAGAAATTTTTCCGAATATATTCGCGAATAAAGGGACGAATCGATTTTCTTATAATGAGAACAAAAGAGAAATTTTTTTTATCATTTATTCGAAAAATAATGAGATATTCTAATTTATTATTATCTCTCATTTCTATATTAATAATATTCGAGAGAATTATATAATGGTCTAAATCTTTCTATCAAAATATTCTAAAATTTAATGGCTTCAAATCTGCCGTATTGTTGTCGCGAATTACGGAGGAATTAACGTACAGAGATTTTCGACTATTTTGACTGACGCGTACTATCGAATTATAGAAAGCGGAATTTGAAATTAATTCTATAGACGTTTCCTCAGGAAAATACTCAAAAACAGATTATGTCCTGCAGATTCAATATACGACGTTAAACTTTCGAAGGAAAAATGAATTCAATAAATCAAAAATTATAACAAGTCGATAATATCGGTATATTCAGTATATAATAATCTCAGAAGCATCCAAATTCCTGGAAATCCCTGAGGGGGTCCTCAATAAGATACTTAAATAATTTATTTCGGCAAGCGCAGATTGAAGAACGAGAAAGAATTCAGATCAAATCGATATTTTATTACGCGCACTATTTCATATAAAATAATATATTCATATCTATTTGCTCTTAATTATTATATAGGGCTTATCCTATATTCTTTTTCTTAATTTTGTCTCCAAAGAGATTCGCCTCTTGTGCTTATAGTGACCCCAACGCGTAAATACGAATATATCGAATAGATTCCGAATATAGATTCGGAATTCCTTGCCAACTACACACCCCTTCCCTTAAAAATTATAAAACGCCATTTTAGATGTTTTAAAATATGAATTTTTCGAAATAATTATCTTTCATTTATTTTTTGTCTGCCTACTCTTCATATATATAATAGTATAGACAGGCTCCGTCCGGATCCCCAAACGCTATATATAGACCCCAACCGCCCCCCAAAATCAATTCTCTCCTAGATTATATTAAAAGAACGGAATAACAACTCCCTACTCGTCCATTAACGAGCGTCATTTCACTCGAACCTTTCCTGTTCCTTTAAAAGAATTGAGGATATTTATATAATCGGACTAATAAATATAATACTGCTCCATCTTTTCATCAAATTCCTTCAATTT